TGAATACTTATCTGTATACAAGATATTTTATATCACCTCCTCTAAGACTTGAAAAACATTGTGGAACATGGGGTGGAAAGAATATAAAAGCTGAAATAGAGAAAAGTAGGCCATCAAGCACTTTCTTCTGAGCATGACATAGCTAATCAGTCATCATTTCATAGCAGCTGTAGCTACCTGCACTTGGTCTGCACAAGACCAGACCTGTCAACCAACAATCACCAATCAGGAATAAGTTCTGCAGACCCAACCCTCCATGCTGAATTATTGGCTACTGATGGCTTCTGAGATAGGGACAGTCATTGTCTTCAGTTATGTCATCACTGATGATATAACCAGAGTCCAGTGGATAGTTCAAAACTCAGGATCACACAGACAGTCTTGGTAAACCTCAGAGAGGCACAAAGCAAACTAAAAGTCATGAATGTTAGAAAGATACACATAGGGAAGAGAGGTCTTTGAAAGGGTTGGGGATTCTGAGAGGGTGGTGGGTAACACTAACCATAAAACACCATCTTCATGTGAGGAACTGTTGAAGGACAGATGTGATGCGGGGATATGGATGGAAGATATGATCAAAGGGGCTGGTCCTGGGGACCGATATTTGCAGGATTTCCACAACACAGAGCAATAATATATCCAAGAGGAGTCCCAGTGAGAGCCCAACATTAGTAGTGTAGCAGAAACCAGAGGCCTAGAACCAATCCAATGACTCATTCCAATGAGCACTTGCAAGTAAAGATCTATGAAAGAGTTTACTGTGTGATGAAAGCTTCCTTTATGACAAGATTGATTTCCCTTTTTGACTATTTTTTCTCTTAAATTTTATTTTATTTTATTTTATTGGGGAGGGGTTGCAAGGGCAGTTACAAAGGGAAAGGGAAAAGAATGGAATAAAGATGCATGATGTGAAAGACACAAAGAATAAGTAAGAAGAAAGTTGAAAAAAGAGAAAAAGGGAGAGAAAAAACATAAAGGCAGGTGCATAGGGAAGTGTGGAGGATCTGGGAGGAGTTGGGAAAGGGGGGAAATTCTATCAAAGTATATTGTATGAAAAAATTTAATAAAAATAATTTTTAAAATGTTTTTGTGTGTATATGTATATATTCAAATAGGTGCATATAATGTGTATAAATGTAAATATGCGTTGTATATTGCATGTGTGTGGACACATGTTATGGCATGATGTGGAGGTCAGAGAACATGCTGAGAGTCAGTTCTTTTGTTCTATCAGGTAAGTCCCAGGTTCAAAGGGATCATCAGGCCTGTCAGCCAGTGCCTTTATCCATTGACCTATTTCATTGGCCCTATATCTTCTAATTTTTAATCGACATTTAGATCCCATACATAAGAGAAAACATGAGATATTTGCATTTCTGAATCTGGCTTTTGTCACATACATGATCTCCAGTTCTAACCATTTTCCTCCAAATGACATAAGTATGAGCCTCCTGAATTATGG